TGCTGATGTTCAGGTGTATATCAGTATGTAGTGTCTCTACTTTAAAGAGTCCTCTCCTGCTGATGTTCAGGTGTATATCAGTATGTAGTGTCTCTACTTTAAAGAGTCCTCTCCTGCTGATGTTCAGGTGTATATCAGTAGGTAGTGTCTCTACTTTAAAGAGTCCTCTCCTGCTGATGTTCAGGTGTATATCAGTATGTAGTGTCTCTACTTTAAAGAGTCCTCTCCTGCTGATGTTCAGGTGTATATCAGTATGTAGTGTATCTACTTTAAAGTTCAGGTTGTATATCAGTATGTAGTGTCTCTACTTAAAGAGTCCTCTCCTGCTGATGTTCAGGTGTATATCAGTATGTAGTGTCTCTACTTTAAAGAGTCCTCTCCTGCTGATGTTCAGGTGTATATCAGTATGTAGTGTCTCTACTTTAAAGAGTCCTCTCCTGCTGATGTTCAGGTGTATATCAGTATGTAGTGTCCTCTACTTTAAAGAGTCCTCTCCTGCTGATGTTCAGGTGTATATCAGTATGTAGTGTCTCTACTTTAAAGAGTCCTCTCCTGCTGATGTTCAGGTGTATATCAGTATGTAGTGTCTCTACTTTAAAGAGTCCTCTCCTGCTGATGTTCAGGTGTATATCAGTATGTAGTGTCTCTACTTTAAAGAGTCCTCTCCTGCTGATGTTCAGGTGTATATCAGTATGTAGTGTCTCTACTTTAAAGAGTCCTCTCCTGCTGATGTTCAGGTGTATATCAGTATGTAGTGTCTCTACTTTAAAGATGTAGTGTCTCTACTTTAAAGAGTCCTCTCCTGCTGATGTTCAGGTGTATATCAGTATGTAGTGTCTCTACTTTAAAGAGTCCTCTCCTGCTGATGTTCAGGTGTATATCAGTATGTAGTGTCTCTACTTTAAAGAGTCCTCTCCTGCTGATGTTCAGGTGTATATCAGTATGTAGTGTCTCTACTTTAAAGAGTCCTCTCCTGCTGATGTTCAGGTGTATATCAGTATGTAGTGTCTCTACTTTAAAGAGTCCTCTCCTGCTGATGTTCAGGTGTATATCAGTATGTAGTGTCTCTACTTTAAAGAGTCCTCTCCTGCTGATGTTCAGGTGTATATCAGTATGTAGTGTCTCTACTTTAAAGAGTTCTCTCCTGCTGATGTTCAGGTGTATATCAGTATGTAGTGTCTCTACTTTAAAGAGTCCTCTCCTGCTGATGTTCAGGTGTATATCAGTATGTAGTGTCTCTACTTTAAAGAGTCCTCTCCTGCTGATGTTCAGGTGTATATCAGTAGGTAGTGTCTCTACTTTAAAGAGTCCTCTCCTGCTGATGTTCAGGTGTATATCAGTATGTAGTGTCTCTACTTTAAAGAGTCCTCTCCTGCTGATGTTCAGGTGTATATCAGTATGTAGTGTACTCTACTTTAAAGAGTCCTCTCCTGCTGATGTTCAGGTGTATATCAGTATGTAGTGTCTCTACTTTAAAGAGTCCTCTCCTGCTGATGTTCAGGTGTATATCAGTATGTAGTGTCTCTACTTTAAAGAGTCCTCTCCTGCTGATGTTCAGGTGTATATCAGTATGTAGTGTCTCTACTTTAAAGAGTTCTCTCCTGCTGATGTTCAGGTGTATATCAGTATGTAGTGTCTCTACTTTAAAGAGTCCTCTCCTGCTGATGTTCAGGTGTATATCAGTATGTAGTGTCTCTACTTTAAAGAGTCCTCTCCTGCTGATGTTCAGGTGTATATCAGTATGTAGTGTCTCTACTTTAAAGAGTCCTCTCCTGCTGATGTTCAGGTGTATATCAGTATGTAGTGTCTCTACTTTAAAGAGTCCTCTCCTGCTGATGTTCAGGTGTATATCAGTATGTAGTGTCTCTACTTTAAAGAGTCCTCTCCTGCTGATGTTCAGGTGTATATCAGTATGTAGTGTCTCTACTTTAAAGAGTCCTCTCCTGCTGATGTTCAGGTGTATATCAGTATGTAGTGTCTCTACTTTAAAGAGTCCTCTCCTGCTGATGTTCAGGTGTATATCAGTATGTAGTGTCTCTACTTTAAAGAGTCCTCTCCTGCTGATGTTCAGGTGTATATCAGTATGTAGTGTCTCTACTTTAAAGAGTCCTCTCCTGCTGATGTTCAGGTGTATATCAGTATGTAGTGTCTCTACTTTAAAGAGTTCTCTCCTGCTGATGTTCAGGTGTATATCAGTATGTAGTGTCTCTACTTTAAAGAGTCCTCTCCTGCTGATGTTCAGGTGTATATCAGTATGTAGTGTCTCTACTTTAAAGAGTCCTCTCCTGCTGATGTTCAGGTGTATATCAGTATGTAGTGTCTCTACTTTAAAGAGTCCTCTCCTGCTGATGTTCAGGTGTATATCAGTATGTAGTGTCTCTACTTTAAAGAGTCCTCTCCTGCTGATGTTCAGGTGTATATCAGTATGTAGTGTCTCTACTTTAAAGAGTCCTCTCCTGCTGATGTTCAGGTGTATATCAGTATGTAGTGTCTCTACTTTAAAGAGTCCTCTCCTGCTGATGTTCAGGTGTATATCAGTATGTAGTGTCTCTACTTTAAAGAGTCCTCTCCTGCTGATGTTCAGGTGTATATCAGTATGTAGTGTCTCTACTTTAAAGAGTCCTCTCCTGCTGATGTTCAGGTGTATATCAGTATGTAGTGTCTCTACTTTAAAGAGTCCTCTCCTGCTGATGTTCAGGTGTATATCAGTATGTAGTGTCTCTACTTTAAAGAGTCCTCTCCTGCTGATGTTCAGGTGTATATCAGTATGTAGTGTCTCTACTTTAAAGAGTCCTCTCCTGCTGATGTTCAGGTGTATATCAGTATGTAGTGTCTCTACTTTAAAGAGTCCTCTCCTGCTGATGTTCAGGTGTATATCAGTATGTAGTGTCTCTACTTTAAAGAGTCCTCTCCTGCTGATGTTCAGGTGTATATCAGTATGTAGTGTCTCTACTTTAAAGAGTCCTCTCCTGCTGATGTTCAGGTGTATATCAGTATGTAGTGTCTCTACTTTAAAGAGTCCTCTCCTGCTGATGTTCAGGTGTATATCAGTATGTAGTGTCTCTACTTTAAAGAGTCCTCTCCTGCTGATGTTCAGGTGTATATCAGTATGTAGTGTCTCTACTTTAAAGAGTCCTCTCCTGCTGATGTTCAGGTGTATATCAGTATGTAGTGTCTCTACTTTAAAGAGTCCTCTCCTGCTGATGTTCAGGTGTATATCAGTATGTAGTGTCTCTACTTTAAAGAGTCCTCTCCTGCTGATGTTCAGGTGTATATCAGTATGTAGTGTCTCTACTTTAAAGAGTCCTCTCCTGCTGATGTTCAGGTGTATATCAGTATGTAGTGTCTCTACTTTAAAGAGTCCTCTCCTGCTGATGTTCAGGTGTATATCAGTATGTAGTGTCTCTACTTTAAAGAGTCCTCTCCTGCTGATGTTCAGGTGTATATCAGTATGTAGTGTATCTACTTTAAAGAGTCCTCTCCTGCTGATGTTCAGGTGTATATCAGTATGTAGTGTCTCTACTTAAAGAGTCCTCTCCTGCTGATGTTTCAGGTGTATATCAGTATGTAGTGTCTCTACTTTAAAGAGTCCTCTCCTGCTGATGTTCAGGTGTATATCAGTAGTTAGTGTATCTACTTTAAAGAGTTCTCGCCTGCTGATGTTCAGGTGTATATCAGTATGTAGTGTCTCTACTTTAAAGAGTCCTCTCCTGCTGATGTTCAGGTGTATATCAGTATGTAGTGTCTCTACTTTAAAGAGTCCTCTCCTGCTGATGTTCAGGTGTATATCAGTATGTAGTGTCTCTACTTAAGAGTCCTCTCCTGCTGATGTTCAGGTGTATATCAGTATGTAGTGTCTCTACTTTAAAGAGTCCTCTCCTGCTGATGTTCAGGTGTATATCAGTATGTAGTGTCTCTACTTTAAAGAGTCCTCTCCTGCTGATGTTCAGGTGTATATCAGTATGTAGTGTCCTCTACTTTAAAGAGTCCTCTCCTGCTGATGTTCAGGTGTATATCAGTATGTAGTGTCTCTACTTTAAAGAGTCCTCTCCTGCTGATGTTCAGGTGTATATCAGTATGTAGTGTCCTCTACTTTAAGAGTCCTCTCCTGCTGATGTTCAGGTGTATATCAGTATGTAGTGTCTCTACTTTAAAGAGTCCTCTCCTGCTGATGTTCAGGTGTATATCAGTATGTAGTGTCTCTACTTTAAAGAGTCCTCTCCTGCTGATGTTCAGGTGTATATCAGTATGTAGTGTCTCTACTTTAAAGAGTCCTCTCCTGCTGATGTTCAGGTGTATATCAGTATGTAGTGTCTCTACTTTAAAGAGTCCTCTCCTGCTGATGTTCAGGTGTATATCAGTATGTAGTGTCTCTACTTTAAAGAGTTCCTCTCCTGCTGATGTTCAGGTGTATATCAGTATGTAGTGTCTCTACTTTAAAGAGTCCTCTCCTGCTGATGTTCAGGTGTATATCAGTATGTAGTGTCTCTACTTTAAAGAGTCCTCTCCTGCTGATGTTCAGGTGTATATCAGTATGTAGTGTCTCTACTTTAAAGAGTCCTCTCCTGCTGATGTTCAGGTGTATATCAGTATGTAGTGTCTCTACTTTAAAGAGTCCTCTCCTGCTGATGTTCAGGTGTATATCAGTATGTAGTGTCTCTACTTTAAAGAGTCCTCTCCATGCTCTAATGTTCAAAAAGCTCTTTATTTCTCTCATACTGTCTGTGCTGCAGCTCCTCTTTTCACCCTCTGTCTGAAACCAGAGCCCAGTCTGCTCTGATTGGTTAGCTGGCCGGCTCTGTTGTGATTGGTCAACCAGCTTAGAGATGTCCCGCCCCTTAGCCTATCGGTACAATGTGTAGGGGCGCTAGCCAATAGGAGCGTGAGTGTTCACATGCACTAACTCCTGTAGAACACAGAGCGACTCTTTAAAGAAAGTCAGAAACACAAACATGTAGTAAATGGTTCTCAGTGGGATGTCTTCTTCTGTCTCTCCACAGCAGCAGAAGATGGATTACTCTCTGGAGGACATGTCCAACCAATCGTATCCGGACTACAACTACACAGACTTTGACTACGACCTGGTCTCTCCGTGTGCTCCGCAGAACAACCACAGTGTGCAGCTGGTCGTCGGGCCGTACGTTCACTCCATCATCTGCATCCTGGGCCTGGTGGGCAACAGCCTGGTGATCGTCACCTACGCCCTCTACAAGAGGACCAAGTCCATGACGGACGTGTACCTGCTGAACGTGGCGGTGGCCGACCTGCTGTTCGTGGCCTCACTGCCGCTCATCGTCTACAACGAGCTGACGGCGTGGTCCATGGGTCCGGTGGTGTGCAAGCTGCTGCGCGGCTCCTACAGCGTGAACCTGTACAGCGGCACGCTGCTGCTCGCCTGCATCAGCAGCGACCGCTACGTGGCCATCGTGCAGGCGCGCCGCAGCTTCAGACTGCGCTCGCTGGCCTACAGTCGCCTCATCTGCGCCGCCGTGTGGGCGCTCGCAGTACTGCTGTCCGTGCCCTCCTTCTACTTCTACAGCTTGTACCAGCCGACCCACAGCAGGGACTTCATGGACGAGGAGGACGGGAACAGCACCGACGGCACGGAGTACGTCTGCGAGCTCAGGTTCATGGACTCCACCGAGGCTTTGACCTCCAAGGTGGCGCTGCCCAGCATGCAGCTGGCCGTGGGCTTCTTCCTGCCGCTGCTCGTCATGGTCTTCTGCTACAGCGCCATCGTGGGCACGCTGCTGAAGGCCAGGAACTTCCAGCGCCACAAGGCGGTGCGCGTGGTGCTGGCCGTGGTGGCGGTGTTCGTGGTCTGCCACCTGCCCTACAACCTCACGCTGCTGTACGACACCGCCAGCATGTTCAATCTGCAGAACTGCGAGGACGTGGACTTCCTGAAGACAGCCAAGACGGTGACGCAGACCCTGGCCTACCTGCACTGCTGCCTGAACCCCGTGCTGTACGCCTTCGTCGGGGTGAAGTTCAGGAACCACTTCCGGAGGATTGTGCAGGACCTGTGGTGCCTGGGGAAGAGGTACATCCGGCCCCGGCGCTTCTCCAGGGTCACCTCCGAGATCTACGTGTCCACCCGCCGCTCCGTGTCCAGTGAGAACGGCTCGTCCTTCACGATGTGAGGACGCCGGGAACATCTCCGGAGGTCCACTCTGAAAATCCTCCGGTTCCCTAGAGGTTCTTCATTAGGTTCCCCATTGGCACTATCATGAGCACTGGCTCCGTCACGAGACGAACCCGAGGGCTTTAACGCGAGACACAAACACCTGCTGCATCTTTAATCTTTCCTGACGTCTTCAAGACTTCCTGAAGTGAAATCAACCTGAGAAGGAAACCCACCGCCGGGCGGCGAACACAAAGATTAAAGTTTCCTAAAAATCATCAAAATACCATCTGTTTTTTCAAACTGACCTCAGACTCTCTACTCAGCGTCCTGAATAAACAAGACGAATATTTTAACACCACAACTTTTCAGTGATTAAAATAAATACAGAAAATAATCTAAGATCTAGTTCATTATCACTTTATCCATGTCAGGTTGAGCTGTCTGTAAACTCAGAGACGAGTCACACATTTATTTAGTCAGAATTTTTTAATTTTCAGAATGTCAGAAAAAATACAGAATTTTTTATTTTCAAGAAAAAGTCAGAATTTTCAGGAAAAAGTCAGTTTTTAGATTTTCTGTATTTTCTGAAAGAAGACAGAATTTTAAAACTGTCAGAATATTCAGAAACATCTGGAAATGCGCTCAACAGAAGAGTCCCTGAACACACCACCATCCTGGGTGGCGGTCCACTTAAACTTCAAAAATCATTATTCTGTCTAACCTAATCTGATATCCCAAGTGTTGCTTTAGGTTGTAATTGGAAAGGAAAAGGAGCAAATGTGAAATAGATTAAATCACCTTAAATACCTATGTATTACTTGCATTCATCATTTATAGGGTGGATTCATGTAGTCTTTATATAAAATGCAGAAGAAAGACATTTATTTGATACGATTTACTTTTAACTTGTTCTCTCAACCTCAAAACAAAGCTGTATTCTGTCTGTTGTTTCATAAAATAAACTATCTTCAAGAAGTAAACCTGGGGCACGTGTTTTACATGTCTGATATCCTTTTCTGGCCCTGGTGGATAATATTTCCCAGAGCTTCCTGGAGTGAAAGATGTATCCGGTGGGGAGTTGGGGGCCAAGTGTTTGCTGTCTCCCTGGACCCGGAGCACCATCTCTAATCTCCGAGGTGTTCTGGGCTGTTTGCGCCTGTCAGCCGCCAGAGAAATGCACCTTGCCTCTTTTTTATTTCCGTCTTGTAAAATCAAAGTCTCTGAGGATAAAACTGCAGACCTTTATGATCAGGATGATAAGGTTTAATAAAGTGTGTTAATGTTTGACCTGAGGTGCTCCAGCTCGTTGGTTCCAGAGTTCAGAGGAGCTCATCATATTTCAGCTGGAGATGAACACACAGAGATAGACTGTATGTGAATCAACAGAGCTGTGGAGACCTGCTGGGAGTTACATGTTAGTTCTGTCTCTGCTTGGAGCGACTGATTCATTTCACCGTCACTCATCAGCAGATTCTCTTCAGAAGGTAAGAGCAGCTTTCATCATGTGTGTGTCAGCAGTTAGACTGAGAACAGTAGAGGTGCTGCTGTACTCATGTGTTGTGTTCACTGCATCGCTGGAACAAAACTCACAGGAAACAACAACAGTTTGGATGAAACTGAGATTCGGTTAGGGGTTAGCCTAACCCTAGTTTAGATGACTTTAGGGTTAGACTAGTTCAGATGACTTTAGGGTTGTGCTGCTGTTCTCGTTTTGTGTCTCCTTTATTTACATATGCTATAGAGGATCAGACATAATAGAAACATCTGTATAGTTAATATCATCCTGTACATCACCACCGTGGAACAAACAGAGCACAGATAGATGAACTCTGCTAACAAACAGTTTCTCAAAGGTTGGGTTTATTGTTCTGTCTCTCTGCATCAGTCACAGCAGAAGATATTTCAGTTTTTTCCCGCCAAACCTTATCTTGTTTCCAGGAATTGTGTGTTGTTAGTTTTATTGTTAGAGGTTTTGTTGCAGTACCAAGGGTTGCCCCGTTCAGTCTCTTTGAAACCTGTTTACAGCTCAGTTAGTAGGGGGTCAGAGTCTGAATCTGTCTACAGGCGGCCTGTTACTGATTAACAGCTGATAAAAACGACTTCAGTATCAGAAAGTAAGACGTCTCAGAAATACATGTTTAATATATGATATTCTGTGAGAGTAGGAGAGTCAATAAGCATCAGTGTATCAGGAGACCATGTTACCTGTGGAAGGTATTTGGGTGATGTCACGCACTGGCCAACAGCACACCTGTTGAATCTGATCTGAATGACTGTAATAGGAACCATCCCTGTGACCCTGATACCGTTAGGCTCCATATGAAGAAATGGAACATAAACGGATGTTTGTGACCTAAGAAAGGATATAAAAGATCAGAAACACAGTGAGAGGGATGCAGTGTTGACCTGTATGTGCATCAGATCAGATCAATCCTGCGTTTGGCTGCACCTGAATCCCCCGGTCCTCCTTCTCCTGGATCTGAGACGCATCAAAGAGACCCAGGCTGAGAGCTGCAGAAACTCTGATTAACAACCTTCATCATATTAATGATAATAAACATTTACAGATACATTTAGAAACGTGATGTGTCGGTCGCGAACGAGCCGATTATTTTGAACGGCTCTTTGGTACGAACGAGGGGAACCGAGTCGTACTTGGTGAGAGCCGTTCTTGTTATCGTTCAATCGTTGGTCCGCACTCTCTGCCTGCCAACATCCACTCGCCTTTTAAAAAGCTTGATTTTGTTCCCCAAACGTATTCTGTGAAGACCCGCCCCTACTCTGATTGGTAGGTTTCAGCACGAGGAGTGAGATGGGGTGGGTCTTAACGGAATACGCCAGAGAGAGAAGTCATAACAAGTGGTACAGGACAGGTAGACGACGTGTTTTTCGGATGGAAAATGAGCCAAACGTGAAAACCCAGCAGCATTTGGATGCACTTCAACCAAAACCCAGGCAGTGATAAAGCGCACCATTTGTAAAGGCAAAATATCCTTTAAAGCAGGATCAACAAATAATCTCCATCGCCACTTAAAAACACAGTATCTAAGAGTTGCGTGAATTTCATTCAAGGCAAGGCAACTTTATTTACTTAACACATACAGAGGGTCAATTCAAAATACATTCACTGACATGAATGACATGGATATGGCGCCACCTTGTGTCATGTTTACAATGCAGATGATTGACATTAGGTCTGGCAATGCAGTCAATCATAATCCTGGTGATTATTATAAACCTAGTGACCCCGCGCCCTTTAAAAAAACGGCTCTTTGAAAGGAACGGAGCCATAAGATCCGGCTCCCTTTAAAGAGCCATAATTCCCATCACTAATTTAGAAACTTCAACATGAATGGTTTTAATCAGACAGTAAATCCTGTTTCTGGAGTATCTCAGCATGTCTGCATGTTGTGTTTTCAGAGTTACTTTACACTCATCCTCTCAGATATTATAATTGAACAATCTGATGAATATATAAAGTTAATAATGTGCAAGGCTCTAAAATCATCCAAACCTCTGTACCATCATCTTATTACACAGCCCTGATTAAAGGGTAGAGTCAGATGAAGGTTAACGAGATAACATGAAATATGATTTGACTATAGCAACTATAAAAGAATAAAGTCATACATATAAAAGATAAACATGATGCATAGATGTTATTCAAGAACCAAAGTCCAAGCTTTATTGTCATGTGTAATAAAAAGCAATAAATTGCTTATGCTCAGTGGCGCCATCTCAGTCATTAAATCTATCAATGTTTGTTTATATAGCCCAATATCACACACTTACATTTGTCTCAGGGGCTTTACAGTTTGTACAGAATATAAATAAGACCCCCTCTGTCCTTGGACCCTCACACCGGACAAGGAGCACTGCTTACAACCCAATTTGCCTTTTCAATTTCAATTTCGGATTCATATTTGTATTCTGTGTCTCTCCTGGGACATGTCTCCATGCTTTAATGTTCAAAAAGCTCTTTATTTTTCTCATACTGCCTGTGCTGCAGCTCCTCTTTTCACCCTCTGTCTGAAAACAGAGCCCAGTCTGCTCTGATTGGTTAGCTTGCCGGCTCTGTTGTGATTGGTCAACCTGCTAGTTCAGATGACTTTTGGGTTAGACTAGTTCAGACTTTAGGGTTAGACTAGTTCAGATGACTTTAGGGTTAGACTAGTTCAGAAGACTTTAGGGTTAGACTAGTTCTGAGGACTTTAGGGTTAGACTAGTTCTGATGACTTTAGGGTTAGACTAGTTCTGATGACTTTAGGGTTAGACTAGTTCAGATGACTTTAGGGTTAGGACTAGTTCAGATGACTTTAGGGTTAGACTAGTTCAGATGACTTTAGGGTTGAACTAGTTCAGATGACTTTAGGGTTAGACTAGTTCTGAGGACTTTAGGGTTATACTAGTTCTGAGGACCTTAGGGTTAGACTAGTTCAGATGACTTTAGGGTTAGACTAGTTCAGATGACTTTAGGGTTAGTCTAGTTCTGAGGACTTTAGGGTTAGACTAGTTCAGATGACTTTAGGGTTAGACTAGTTCAGATGACTTTAGGGTTAGACTAGTTCAGATGACTTTAGGGTTAGACTAGTTCAGAGGACTTTAGGGTTAGACTAGTTCAGATGACTTTAGGGTTAGACTAGTTCAGATGACTTTAGGGTTAGACTAGTTCAGATGACTTTAGGGTTAGACTAGTTCTGAGGACTTTAGGGTTAGACTAGTTCAGATGACTTTAGGGTTAGACTAGTTCAGAATAATTTAGGGTTAGACTAGTTCAGATGACTTTAGAGTTAGACTAGTTCAGATGACTGTAGGGTTAGACTAGTTCAGATGACTTTAGGGTTAGACTAGTTCAGATGACTTTAGGGTTAGACTAGTTCAGATGACTTTAGGGTTAGACTAGTTCAGATGACTTTAGGGTTAGACTAGTTCAGATGACTGTAGGGTTAGACTAGTTCAGATGACTGTAGGGTTAGACTAGTTCAGATGACTTTAGTGTTAGACTAGTTCAGATGACTTTAGGGTTAGACTAGTTCAGATGACTTTAGGGTTAGACTAGTTCAAATTACTTTAGGGTTAGACTTGTTCAGATGACTTTATTGTTAGACCAGTTCAGATGACTTTAGGGTTAGAATAGTTCAGATGACTTTAGGGTTAGACTAGTTCTGATGACTTTAGGGTTAGTCTAGTTCAGATGACTTTAGGGTTAGACTAGTTCAGATGACTTTAGGGTTAGACTAGTTCAGATGACTTTAGGGTTAGACTAGTTCAGACTTTAGGGTTAGTCTAGTTCTTAGAACTTTAGGGTTAGACTAGTTCAGATGACTTTAGGGTTAGACTAGTTCAGATGACTTTAGGGTTGAACTAGTTCAGATGACTTTAGGGTTAGACTAGTTCTGAGGACTTTAGGGTTATACTAGTTCTGAGGACCTTAGGGTTAGACTAGTTCAGATGACTTTAGGGTTAGACTAGTTCAGATGACTTTAGGGTTAGACTAGTTCAGACTTTAGGGTTAGTCTAGTTCTTAGAACTTTAGGGTTAGACTAGTTCAGATGACTTTAGGGTTAGACTAGTTCAGATGACTTTAGGGTTGAACTAGTTCAGATGACTTTAGGGTTAGACTAGTTCTGAGGACTTTAGGGTTATACTAGTTCTGAGGACCTTAGGGTTAGACTAGTTCAGATGACTTTAGGGTTAGACTAGTTCAGAAGACTTTAGGGTTAGACTAGTTCAGATGACTTTAGGGTTAGACTAGTTCTGAGGACTTTAGGGTTAGACTAGTTCAGATGACTTTAGGGTTAGACTAGTTCAGATGACTTTAGGGTTAGACTAGTTCAGATGACTTTAGGGTTAGACTAGTTCTGAGGACTTTAGGGTTAGACTAGTTCAGATGACTTTAGGGTTAGACTAGTTCAGAATAATTTAGGGTTAGACTAGTTCAGATGACTTTAGAGTTAGACTAGTTCAGATGACTGTAGGGTTAGACTAGTTCAGATGACTTTAGGGTTAGACTAGTTCAGATGACTTTAGGGTTAGACTAGTTCAGATGACTTTAGGGTTAGACTAGTTCAGATGACTGTAGGGTTAGACTAGTTCAGATGACTTTAGGGTTAGACTAGTTCAGATGACTTTAGGGTCAGACTAGTTCAGATGACTGTAGGGTTAGACTAGTTCAGATGACTTTAGAGTTATACTTGTTCAGATGACTGTAGGGTTAGACTAGTTCAGATGACTTTAGAGTTAGACTAGTTCAGATGACTTTAGAGTTAGACTAGTTCAGATGACTTTAGAGTTAGACTAGTTCAGATGACTTTAGGGTTAGACTAGTTCAGATGACTGTAGGGTTAGACTAGTTCAGATGACTGTAGGGTTAGACTAGTTCAGATGACTTTAGAGTTAGACTAGTTCAGATGACTTTAGAGTTAGACTAGTTCAGATGACTGTAGGGTTAGACTAGTTCAGATGACTTTAGAGTTATACTTGTTCAGATGACTGTAGGGTTAGACTAGTTCAGATGACTTTAGAGTTAGACTAGTTCAGATGACTTTAGAGTTAGACTAGTTCAGATGACTTTAGGGTTAGACTAGTTCAGATGACTGTAGGGTTAGACTAGTTCAGATGACTGTAGGGTTAGACTAGTTCAGATGACTTTAGAGTTAGACGAGTTCAGATGACTGTAGGGTTAGACTAGTTCAGATGACTTTAGGGTTAGACTAGTTCAGATGACTTTAGGGTTAGACTAGTTCAGATGACTTTAGGGTTAGACTAGTTCAGATGACTTTAGTGTTAGACTAGTTCAGATGACTTTAGGGTTAGACTAGTTCAGATGACTTTAGGGTTAGACTAGTTCAAATTACTTTAGGGTTAGACTTGTTCAGATGACTTTATTATTAGACCAGTTCAGATGACTTTAGGGTTAGAATAGTTCAGATGACTTTAGGGTTAGACTAGTTCTGATGACTTTAGGGTTAGTCTAGTTCAGATGACTTTAGGGTTAGACTAGTTCAGATGACTTTAGGGTTAGACTAGTTCAGATGACTTTAGGGTTATCCTGTACATCACCACCATGGAACAAACAGAGCACAGATAGATGAACTCTGCTAACAAACAGTTTCTCAGAAGTTGGGTTTATTGTTCTGTCTCTCTGCATCAGTCACAGCAGAAGATATTTCAGTTTTTTTCCGCCAAACCTTATCTTGTTTCCAGGAATTGTGTGTTGTTAGTTTTATTGTTAGAGGTTTTGTTGCAGTACCAAGGGTCGGCCCGTTCAGTCTCTTTGAAACCTGCTTACAGCTCAGTTAGTAGGGGGTCAGAGTCTGAATCTGTCTACAGGCGGCCTGTTACTGATTAACAGCTGATAAAAACGACTTCAGTATCATAAAGTAAGACGTCTCAGAAATACATGTTTAATATATGATATTCTGTGAGAGTAGGAGAGTCAATAAGCATCAGTGTATCAGGAGACCATGTTACCTGTGGAAGGTATTTGGGTGATGTCACGCACTGGCCAACAGCACACCTGTTGAATCTGATCTGAATGACTGTAATAGGAACCGTCCTATGACCCTGATACCGTTAGGCTCCATATGAAGAAATGGAACATAAACAGATGTTTGTGACCTAAGAAAGGATATGAAAGATCAGAAACACAGTGAGAGGGATGCAGTGTTGACCTGTATGTGCATCAGATCAGATCAATCCTGCGTTTGGCTGCACCTGAATCCCCCGGTCCTCCTTCTCCTGGATCTGAGACGCATCAAAGAGACCCAGGCTGAGAGCTGCAGAAACTCTGATTAACAACCTTCATCATATTAATGATAATAAACATTTACAGATACATTTAGAAACTTCAGACAGTAAATCCTGTTTCTGGAATATCTCAGCATGTCTGCATGTTGTGTTTTCAGAGTTACTTTACACTCATCCTCTCAGATATTATTCTTGCACAATCTGATGAGTATATAAAGTTAATAATGTGCAAGGCTCTAAAATCATCCAAACCTCTGTACCATCATCTTATTACACAGCCCTGATTAAAGGGTAGAGTCAGATGAAGGCTAACAAGATAACATGAAATATGATTTGACTATAGCAACTATAAAAGAATAAAGTCATACATATAAAAGATAAACATGATGCATAGATGTTATTCAAGAACCAAAGTCCAAGCTTTATTGTCATGTGTAATAAAAAGCAATAAATTGCTTATGCTCAGTGGCGCCATCTCAGTCATTAAATCTATCAATGTTTGTTTATATAGCCCAATATCACACACTTACATTTGTCTCAGGGGCTTTACAGTTTGTACAGAATATGAAGAAGACCCCCTCTGTCCTTGGACCCTCACACCGGACAACGAAACAGTTCCAAAGAAACCCCACAGTTAACGGGGGAACACTTTATAAACCTTGGGGAGAGCAACAGAGGCGGATTCCTCTCCTAGGTGTTGTGTGTAAATTAAAAAAGATAATACATTTACAATAAAGGCGGATGCTAGAAAAGATCACGTGTCTTTATATAAGAAGAAGATGGAGGTGGATCCAGGTGGATGTCAACAACCCTCTGGGTGACATCAAAGAAGTAGTAAAGTGAGGTGAGGTGCCATCTACCACCATCTAGTGGACAGCTGGTAGAACTCCATCCTCTGGTGTGTGATTTCTCTCTCTCTGACTGGGTTTCTGACACTGCTATCACTGCTATCACTGCTATCACTGCTATCACTGCTATCACATGACTCTGATGTTCATTCTGGGCTGATCTGGTCTTGTTGAGGCTCCAACAAGGTTCCTGACTATCTGAGAGGAGGAGCACTACCTGTGATGTAAAGCTTGTGGTAATGAATGAGCATGTTGTTGTGTTTGTGTGAAGGTGGAGGCTCTGCTATGGATCAGAGTGAGGACAGAGAGGAGGAAGCCCCCCCCTCTAAAAGCTCTGGGGAACATGACAGCCAGACCAAAGCTCAGAGGTGAGATCTCCACCTGTCCATGACTCTTCTCCATGTCACAGCTCAGCACTCATTATTCACTCAAAGCTCTGTGTGTTGTGTTCCAGCCCAGAGCAAACACCACATCCTGCTGGACCTGGACCTGAACCTGGACCTGGACCTGAACCTGGACCTGGACCTGGAGCTGGTCCTGAACCTCGTCCTGAACCTGGTCCTGAACCTGGTCCTGGACCTGTACCTGGACCCAGCTCTGTGTCCAGTAACCAGCTTACTGCCAGAGACCAGAACCAGGTGTGTGGTCGCCGGCTGAGTCACTCTCTTATTTCTCTCATGTTACTTATTTGTACCACTTCAGGTTGCAGGGGGTGGGAGTCTTCATTGAACATGGAGTTAGACAGCCTCTGTAACGGTCTGATGAGCAGGGGCTCCAGGTTTAGCTGTGACTCACCAATCAGTCTGCTCGACCACTTTATGATCTGACTGAGACAGTTTCTGCTCTTTAAAGACAGGTTACCAAACCAAGACATTAAAGGAAAAGACAGAACTGACTGTGCTGACTGTCTTCAAGTTTAGGATTGACTTCCTGAATGTCTGTCGTGAAGTCTAAGGTATTAAAACAAGTTTAGAAACGATTAGGGTATTTACTAACTCGACATCTGAATTGAAGCCATCCAAAGTCACATGGCAGCTGTTCTTTGGATCCTGAAGGCCTGTTATGGTTTTCAAAAGTACAAAAATACAATAAAACAATATATAGTTCTGTAAGATAAAGATGTTCTTTCTCTGTATCTTTGCTCTGCAGGGAGAAAAGATGGAGACACCTAGAGAAGTCCTATTCAAAACTTTAAAAGATTTGGGGGAAAATGAGTTTAAAGACTTCAAGTGGTACCTGGAGGGGAAGGTCCTAGGATTCCCAGGAATCCCAAAGAGTGAACTAGAGAAAGCAGACCGAGGGGACACAGTGGATCTGATGCTTCGGGACTACGACATAAACACCATTAAAGTGACCAGAGACGTTTTGAAGAAGATCCCGAGGAATGATCTAGAAGAGGAATTATCAAAAACCTCATCAGACCCTAAAGGTAGGTCTTTAAAAAAGAGTGTACTAAAAGATAACTTTTTTTATTTTTCACAGCCATGCATCATGTTTTTAGACTCCTGATACACCCCTCAGAGAACCATCACCTCCACATGGTGTTGGGGTTGAGATACCCCTGAAAGCAGAGAGGTCAGGGTCACTAGTTTCTGGCAGGGTCACCCTGTTGGTCCCAGGTGAAGGGTAGTAGAACCTTTATAGATCAGCATTTTAGGAATCCAATTACCTTTCCTGGATAAGTGAGACTGGAGTTTGGTGGAATTGTCCAAAGATCAGCTCCTATCGTCTCTGTCAGGGTTGGGGGGAAATAGGACTCAAATGCAGAACACAGACAGGGAAGCGGGTATCCAGGTAATAACCAAAAACGAGCTTTATTCCACAAAGCTGATAAGAAAAACTACAAAACACTAACCAGCAACAGGTGAACACAATGAGACGGCGGTACACCAGACGGGACTGTGTGTGATTGGTTGTTCCTCGTCACATGACAAGCGGTGCGTGGCGCTGCTCCGCTCCAAAAGTTCAATATTTTGAACTCAAGGCGCGTGCACACAAGAGCAGACATCCAGAGCCAGGCGTACGGGCCTCTTTTAATCTTTTTTTAAAAACTTTTAATCGAAAATGTAAAAAAAAAACATTGCTCCCGCCTGGGAGATCGTAGTTGAATCAGATGAGCTTTATTCATTGGTCCAGACGGCATAAACAGGAGGACACATTTCTTCGATTCATAATAACTAAAAGTTTATCATTTTCAAAAGGAACAAAAGACTTTTCCGCTTCCCCGTCTCATCACCCTCAGCTGTGTCCTATCAACCTACCATATATAGGCATATAGCCATGCACGTGATACTGACGCACCTTTCATAACAAATAAGTGAGCCTTAAATTAATACATTTTAAACCATAGTGTGACTCACAAAAATACCTGATAATCAAGAGTTGAATCTACTTTATATTATTATTATCAAGCCTAACATTCAGACAATAATAACAAAATGAAAATGGCTCTAACATACCAGCCCCTAATTGCTTATTACATAGCAATTACCAATAATAATATATCAAAAGAGTCATTTTAACAAAACATATAACATCCATCCGTCGCATATTTGTATACTCAAGTCCATAGTATATTGTATACTTTCAAGTCCATGTAAGACCATTACTGAGTGTGTAGGTCTAGTACTAATTGTCTGTAATGTTCTGCTGTTCAAAAGGCAGCCTTTGATGGGGGGGGGTAGGAGACCAAGAGTCTAGTCCTTTGGTCTAACAGTCAGAGGTGCACGTGACTGAAAGGCTAAGGCTTAGTAGGCTCAGTCTGTTGCCTCCAGGAGCAGACACAACTTAGTTATGGGTCTTTCTATGGTACTAGTCTTGGTTTTAACCAGGACACTCCTAACAAGTCCTTTTGAACCAGGAAGGGTCTTAACTACACGTCCCAGGAGTCAAGTGTTCCTCGGTGCATTCTCATCAACGATGATGACCAGGTCTCCGGGGGTGAAGTTTCTTTTGATTGTATTCCAGTTGGGCCGTTCTTGCATCAAATGAAGGTATTCCCTGGTCCAGCGCTTCCAGGTCAGCAAGGTATTGCACCTGCCTCCTGGCTGAAGAGTTAGCAGCGGATAGCCAATAACGTTGAAGGAGTTTGGAGAGCATGTGACCTGAGTGACCAACTTGATGATGTATTGTCGGAGAATCTCAGACTAAGCTAGTCGAAAAAGTCCGGACCTCCTTCTCAACATTATCATTTATTAACTTTCTTCGTGATTTACAATTCGAATGGGTTCTGAAGAAATCGCTGGAGGCAGTCAGAGTTTGTTGCAAAAATAACTTTTACTTCATCAAACGACAAAAACAAAAGTCAGAGCAGACCCCGGGATCGTACCAGCTAACCAAACATCGGTTTAGCATTTTATAACTAAACTTTCTTGTTTCTTATTGGTTGACCTTGGTGGAAGTCGCTACGCCACTCCCCGACTCTTTGTTGTAACTTTTTCCCGCATGCGTTTGCGTTTAATTATTTCTCCGCGTACGTGCCTGTAACTCTTTTTGCTAACGTTTGCACTTATTTTACTACCGCACATGTGGCCTGGAGGCGTTCCGTCACATTTGACCGCTTCCCGACCTCCACCCAGGTTCACCATCAAGTGAAAAGGAGTTTCCACTCTGAGGCCTTGTTTTTTACACACAATTTTAGTTAACTTTAACTACCACAATAGTTTTTACTTTTTACATTACATAACCCTTATTTTATGTACTATATAATACTACAACAGTATGTGGCTTAGTATCAACTTGGAAATATGAGAATGTTTAGGTAGAATCATTGGATGTTTGACCTCAGTTGGCATAGCCATCTTTGTAGTTCTTCCTCCCAGCATCAATGATAGGGTCCAGCTTGTATAGGGAGCTTCCTCTATTGCACTGTTTGGCTTTTTCCAGCAAGGCAAACTCTTCTTTGAAATGCTGTCTCTGCTCGTGGCAAGTAATGGCCTTTTCAGCATTTTCCGTGTCCTCTACTGAAAGTCTTAGTGCATTAGCTGTAGGCCTTTTGAGCAGAAGCATCTGATCCTTCAGTCTCTTTCCTTTATCCTGCTTTGCTCCGAGATCAGTGGAGCAATCTTTCCCCTTTTCTCTCCTCTGCAGGAGCTTTCGGTCATCAGCTGACATTTGTCTTTCCTCTTCATACTCGTTCGTTGCAAATCGTTAATATATTGAGTTAGAGAGGACGCTGGCACGGTCTATTGCCGCTTCTCCCTCGTAGCCTCTTTTTGTTATTTTTAGCAAGGATTCTACTGCTTTTCTTTTGTTTTTGCACGGATTATATGGATGCTTATACCAACTATACCCAGACAATACTCCACTTTCCTGCAAATCCCTCGTCGGCTGGACGAGCTACTAACGTCTAAGCTACGAGTGGCTAATAAGGTAGCTCAACCTTATTGAGCTACGAGTGGCTAATAAGGTTAGCCGCTATGCCAGCAGCGACACCTACCACAAACAATTCCAGCTCAACTTCTCCACCCAGCTCGATCATCTGCCAAGCTGTGGATCTTTCTGTGTTTCTGGCTAGTGTTAATTTCGTCAGCTATTTTTTTATTTAGGTTTAGTCTTAGTCCTGTGTTAAATTTCCTTTTTAGTTTTAGTCATATTTAGTCACCTTCATCCTGTTTTTATTTAGTCAAGTTTTAGTCGACTAAAAGTCTGAGCATGTTAGTCTTATTTAAAGAAAACTAATTATTTTAGTCTACTTTTTGTCAGTCTATACACAACTCGTCACTCACTCGCGCTGACGGGGGGGGGGGGGGGGGGGGGGGGGGGGGGGATATTCGGTTAACGCGACCACTGCTCCCAAGCCCTGTTGTTGCCATTTTATTTTCTGTTAAATAACTGTTAGTTAGACCATGAGTTAGACCCGAGTCTTCCTGACAGTTCACAGTGTTCACAGACACACAGCTGCTGCCCAGCCGCAGCACCGGAAAAAAAAAAAATTAAATTATTATTCAGAAATGTTATTCTGTAACTTCAATCTCAGAGAACTTGAGTTTTTGTAATAACATAATATAGCAGCCTAATAATAAGACAAATTATATAAGAATTTAAATACAAAATTAATATAATCTATATGTAATATAAATAATGAATACTAAGAATAATAATCAAAATTATATAAACAGAATAATAATCAACAATAGAATTCGGGGGAGACAATTGGCCTACATTTCATGAGATGGGGTGTGGTATAGTACCTGGATAGTGGATCGGGGGGCGCTGGCCCAAAAAAGGTTGAGAACCACTGGGTTACATAGACGATCGGACATGGAGCAAAAGGGAAGACTAAATACACAGAAGAGAAATTACAGGACAAGACACAGCTGGGCAGGGGAGGCAGAAACACAAGGGGGGGGGGGGGGGGGGGCAACAGGTGAACACAATGAGACAATCAGACACAGGGAGAAGAGAATTTCAAAATAAAACAGGAAACTACACACACAAAACTAAGAATCGTGACAGTCTCTTCCTAACCACTATTCCTTAACCTCTGTGAAACATCTTGGGCTTAATGATAGAAGGATTCATCAGGACTTAGGAAAAGAGACTGCTGTGTTATGAGAGTCCGACCGCACTGACACTATCCAACGTCATTATGATGTACCAGCCGATGTTATTAAGAAGGAGAAGACGCTTTATTTGATCCCAAAGGGGAAATTCACCTCAGTTATTCGTCTCAGTTGTGGTAACAGACAGTACAATACACACACAGGACAGGTGAGAGAGGTCTGAGCAAAACAGGCAGCCAGTCTGTCCAGTGCCAGGGAGCAGTTGGGGGTTCTGTGCCTTGCTCGAGGGCAGGAGGTGAACTGGCACCTCTCCAGGAACCAGTCTACACTCCGTGTTATTTTGGTCCGATCGGGACTCCAACCGGCACCCTTCGTTTCCCAACACAAATTCCTACAGACTGCGCCACTGCGGCAGTAAAACCCTCTGCTGCATTGGCTGGGAATCGAACCCGGGCGTCCAGACGAGAACTCTACCACTGAACCACCAATGCTATATTAACGAGTTTCTCCTGGTGGGACATTGGAGATATGTAATACAAGTGGGTGATGCTAAATGCCAGTGTTGGGCAGGGGATGGATCAGAGGAATGACAAGAAAGTCATCAGTGGGCTCTGAAATGGCAGTGAGTCCTTGAGTGCTATGTTTACCCAGGAAACGGCCAATTCTGTTTGGAATGAGGTTTGTCCTGCCAAACTGTCAGATATCTCAGGAGGGGGAGTCATGGATAAACCCCGGGTGTTTGCCACAGTGTAGGTTAGCTGCTGACTCAGTCTCAGGATATTGAATGGGACTGATGCACACTGAGTTCAGGAGGCAGAGCTGAGGGCTTGGAGAACAGCTGTTGTTGCTCAGGTGGTCACTGTGGAGGTTTGTCCTGACATAAGATTGGACAGTTGAGATTTACATTTCTGTCCAATGCTGCATGGAGGCAGACAGTGTCATTGTCCATGATTTAAAGGGGACTGTAGGGTGAGCTCTAAACATCAGAGGAGCACATTGCTCAGCCTCACTGATTGCTCACTGCAGATTATGTCCTAGTCATTACTAATGGCCCAGCCCCCTACAGGTGGAAGGAGGTATCATTTGCCGTCCAACATGACTTGGGGAGAAAGGAACGGGTTATTACTGTGACCCCCCAGAGTGTCTTGTAGATGGTAGGCTACTGCAGGAGTATACTGCGACTCACTAAGAGCCATCCACTTCCTGTATAACTGGAGAGAGAGCTGTGTCCACACCCTCAGTGGGTGTTGGGATCAGCTGGTATCGTGCCTCATCTCCCAGCAGCAGGAATAAGAGTCAGTCAGGTTCAGGGCCATGGTTCTCTGTGGGAAAACTGATGGTTCTCTGTGGGGTGGAACTTATACTGGACAATGTACAGATAATTATGCAACAAGATCCAGTGACTTGATACAAAGAAAATAACCTGCTATTTTGTCAGAAATGGGTCCAATTAGAAGGAAATATGTTGATGTGTCTTTAATGTAAATATCTTTCTTATTCATTCAGATATTCTCACAAAGTGCCAAGGTGAACTCAAATCAAACCTGAAGGAAACATTTAAAAATATCAAATTAATGGAAAAATCTGAACCCCTACATGAAATCTACACGGAGATCTACATCCACCGGGGAGACACCACAGAGGTCAACAAGGAACATGAGAACAGACAGATCGAACGAGCATCCAGGAAACCAGACAGACCAGAAACAACCATCAGACAAGAAGACCTCTTTAAAGGCTCAACTGAAAGAGGTAAACCAATCAGAGCAGTGATGACAAAGGGTGTGGCTGGCATTGGGAAAACAGTCTTAACACAGAAGTTCACTCTGGACTGGGCTGAAGGCAAAGCCCACCAGGACATCCAGTTCATATTTCCATTCACCTTCAGAGAGCTGAATGTGGTGAGAGAGAACAAGTACAGCTTGGTGGAACTTGTTCATCACTTCTTCTCTGAAACCAGAGAGGCAGGAATCTGCAGGTTTGATCAGTTCAAGGTTGTGTTCATCTTTGACGGTCTGGATGAGTGTCGACCTCCTCTGAAATTCCACAACACTGAGATCCTGACTGATATCAGAAAGTCCACCTCAGTGGATGTGCTGCTGAGAAACCTCATCAGGGGGAAACTGCTTCCCTCTGCTCGCCTCTGGATAACCACACGACCTGCAGCAGCCAATCAGATCTCTCCTGAGTGTGTGGACATGGTGACAGAGGTCCGAGGGTTCACTGACCCACAGAAGGAGGAGTACTTCAGGAAGAGATTCAGAGATCAGAAGCAGGCCAGAACCATCATCTCCCACATCAAGACCTCACGAAGCCTCCACATCATGTGCCACATCCCAGTCTTCTGCTGGATCTCTGCTTCAGTTCTGGAGGACATGTTGAAAACTGAGGGAGGAGAGCTGCCCAAGACCCTGACTGAGATGTACATCCACTTCCTGGTGATTCTGTCCAAAGTGAACGTCAAGTATGATGAAGGAGCCGAGACGGATCAAGACTGGAGTCTAGAGACCAGGAAGATGATCGAGGTTCTGGGAAAACTGGCTTTTGAGCAGCTGCAGAAAGGCAACCTGATCTTCTCTAAGTCCAACCTGAGAGAGTGTGGCATCGATATCAGAGCAGCCTCAGTGTACTCAGGAGTGTTCACACAGGTCTTTAGAGAGGAGAGAAGAATGTACAAGAACAAGGTGTTCTGCTTCGTCCATCTGAGCGTTCAGGAGTTTCTGGCTGCTCTTCATGTCCATCTGATCTTCATCAACTCCGAGGTCAACCTGATGGCCCCCTGTTGGTCTAAAGTCTTCAGAGCCAAACCTAAACATCTCTACCAGAGTGCTGTGGACAAGGCCTTACAGAGTCCAAACGGACACCTGGACTTGTTCCTCCGCTTCCTCCTGGGTCTTTCAATGGATGCAAATCAGAAACTCCTACCCGACCTGCTGACACAGACAGTAAAGGACTCACAGATCAACAATTTAACAGTTGAAAACATCAAGAAAAAGATAAGAAAGAACCCGTCTCCAGAGAAAAGCATCAACCTGTTCCACTGTCTGAATGAACTGAATGATCGTTCTCTAGTGGAGGAGATCCAACAGTCCCTGAGTTCAGGAAGTCTCTCCACAGAGGATCTGTCTCTTGCTCAGTGGTCGGCTCTGGTCTTCATCTTACTGTCATCAAAAGAAGATCTGGACGTGTTTGACCTGAAGAAATACTCTGCTTCAGAGGAGGCTCTTCTGAGGCTGCTGCCAGTGGTCAAAGCCTCCAGGAAAGCTCTGTAAGTGGAGATAAAACTACATTAACTAGGAACAGTTTGAGACATGATAATATAACTCTTTGTGTTCACTGCTGATCTTTCCCCAGGCTGAGTGGCTGCAACCTGTCAGAGAGAAGCTGTGAAGCTCTGTCCTCAGTCCTCAGCTCCCAGTCCTCTAGTCTGAGAGATCTGGACCTGAGTAACAACGACCTGCAGGATTCAGGAGTGAAGAAGCTGTCGGGTGGACTGGAGAGTCCACACTGTGACCTGGAGACTCTCAGGTCAGAGTTCAGCTTTTTATTTTCAAGCAGTTTAACTTTAGATTATTTTAACCAGCTTTTTGTTCATGTTGATAAAGATGGTCCACCTCTGTATGATTTTCCTGCTCATGTGACTTTTTAAAGCACTGAGTTTACTGTATTCCCTGGTTCCAGTCTGTCAGGCTGTATGGTCACAGAGGAAGGCTGTGTTTCTCTGGCTTCAGCTCTGAGCTCCAACCCCTCCCATCTGAGAGAGCTGGACCTGAGCTACAATCATCCAGGAGACTCAGGAGAGAAGCTGCTGTCTGCTGGACTGGAGGATCCACTCTGGAAACTGGAGACTCTCAGGTATGGACAAACTGACTGCAGGTTCCTCATATTTTTGAGGGAGTTAGTCTGAGTTGGGAAAAAAATGGATCCCTTCAAGTTTTATTACATGGGAACGACTCCTGGTCCGGGTTAAGGTTATGGTTAGCAGGGCCGTCCACCATGTTAGCGGCTGCTGCTGTGTACCTGCCGTTGGCGGTGTCTGACTTGGTGCACAGGGTGTAGGTCAGTGGATCTCAACTGGTCAGGCCTCGGGACCCACTTTTTCCTTTGTCAATAGATCGCAACCCGAAATTTCGAATCACTCAAATCTATTCAACAAAAAATGTGCTGTAATATATACGCTTTTCAGCATACATTATGAATTAAAGTGAAGTACAGTGCATATATCCCTTATATCCCTTCACAGAACTAAAGTACACTAAAAAAAGGTTTAATGAGATGATGGAATCAAAGCTGAACTGTATCACACATGCTGTGTCTTTCAGACATGCTGAAAACCCAACCCCAGCAGGGGGTCTGGGGGGATTGTCCCCCAGGAGATTTTTAGAAATACTAACATATAAACTACGCATTCTGGTACACTGAGAGAAGAAAATAAATAAATCTATTACTACCCGACATATTAATGATATTTAATACCATTGTTTGTTTTTCACTTTGTTCTGACAGCTTGCTGCTCCTCACAGAGAGAAGAGCAAAGAGGAGAGAGTCTGTGTGAATTACTTTAAATTGTGGGTAAGGGTAGATAGCCCCCATTGTTCTGTGACCTGTCAATCATCAAACCGGGGGTCATATTTCATCATGTGTTCATTTCTATCTGAAGTTGTACCCATGGATGTATAAAGAATAGTTCTACCGCAAAGTTATTCTCCGTGGGGACTTCCGGCAACAATCTTGATTCTGATTGGCCAGAAGACTCGAAAAAACATCAGCAAAGATGTTTTATTGAGAAGATGATCACTACGTGACAGAAGTTTTCCAAACCGTTTATGGTCTCCGGTACTTCCAGTCCAACGGCTACTGCATGCACAGTGTTAGAAAATCGGGCCTTCAAAATAAAAGTTTGACTTATTTTGACCTCTTTTTTTTCTTCACTCACACATCTGCAACCCACTCGAAACGGGTCCGCGACCCACTTTTGGGTCGCGACCCACCAGTTGAGAACCACTGGTGTAGGTGATGGTGATCATGTTTATGAAAGGGAGGAGGTGGTTTTGGTTGAAGTACGGGACAGTGAGGATTGGCGTGTGGATCTTTGGAGGAGGATGCACACAGACAGCAGGCAGTACACCAGGTCCCACATCAGAGAGAATAGAATTTCATCAGCCAGATAAGATCAATTTATTGTTTTAAGCACCATTTTAATACTTTTAAAAATGTGCACTATACAGATGGAGCGTCTTATTTTGGACAGTTTGAAACGCGAGGGTCGTGATTGGTCCGTGATTGGTCCGTGATCGGCCCGTGATCGGCCCGTGATCGGCCCGTGATGAAGAGCCGGCCCCCAGTCTGACTTGATACCGCCCTTCGCGGAGGGATCTTGATCCCTGTGTGTTATTTTTCCCCATAATGACCAAGTCGCTGCAAATTATCCCGCTTATTACATGGCCACATTCTCAACAAAGTAACGACATGACTCCCAATATTAATTAAAATGCTTTTATGGATTTAGAAAATATTTTTATTGATTTAAAAAATAGTTGTATGTATTGATTTAAATTGACATGCATCCGCTAAGAAAAATAGTCCGTTGTTACCGTTTTTTAAACAGTCAGAATGAAACGGCAGCTCTCAGCTGTGTGTTTACACACCTAATGGCCCATCACAGCTCTCTCCCCCCCCTGATCTTTCTTTTCCAACAGTTAAGTTAACTGTAGGTTACTCTGAGTGACAAGCTTACAGTTAGTGAAGTAACACTTTTTTTTTGTGAGTCACGACCTCGCTGTTTCATTCTAACATAACGCTCCAAATATGACTGTTTCCACTCTGACTTCAATACAGCAACACCATTGTTTGGTTTCCATGGTAGCGTGTCTCTTTAGTAGCGTGCACTCCTTTCCTGTAAATTACAGGTCCAGCCAGGCAAAACAGTAATATGAAATATGAACGTTAGTTTTTAACTGAAATGATCAAATAAAGTCAAAATGTCACAGTGTTTACAAACATTGACCATACCGTTCACCAGCCCCCACCCCACTATGTTGAGTATAGCCTACTCTTTGTTTAAAACTAATTGGCCATCGGAATGTGTGTGTCCCAACCCCCCCCTGTGATATCTCTTCTCCAGCAGTCTGTTTTGAAAAGTTTGATTGAAAAGTTTATTAACAGTTTGTATATTGTCTGTAGGTTTGTGTTCGCATATTTATGCTGTCGCAGTTCCTGTTGTTTCTATCGCGCATTGCCGGTATGAAAGGGTCTGTGCCGGAAATATCAAGATAACACGGCAGGGTCCGTTACAGTTTGTTTTCATCTGATTTCAAATAAACAAAGTCTTGGCTTTCAGAATATTAAACTTGTTTCGGCAAATTTAGATGATAAATACAACTATGAAGCTTGTAACGGCATAATTACTTAAGCGGAGAACGGAGTAATTTAATGTTACAGCAGGCATAACAACAGCCGGTGTTTATTTTATTATTATATATAGTCGTTATTCATTTGTTTTAAAGCTCAATAAGGAAGATTTAAACTTTCACACACGTTGACCGGCGAAAAACTCTGCCCGGTTCCCTCGGCCCCCACCACGTTGAATAAACAGAAGGCTGCTTTTGTGGAGGAAGTTACAGCGCTACGTACGCACATTTAGCTTTCAGTGTTACTGACCTGAGATGTTTTTATTACATGAATTAATTACATTGACCATACCGTTCACCATCCCCCACCCACCTACTGTATGTTGATCTTTGACATGTAAATGGGTACCTACCCCCCTCTGAGTGAATACCTGTTGTACCTGTCAGGGGCTAAGCCCATAGGACTATGCTCTGATGTCATCACCCTCGCACATTTGTCATAAGTTTACAAAAAACGATGTTAACACTTTCTCGTTCTTAATATATGCTATATTTAGGGTCGATATGTGTTGAATTTACTTTCACTTTAACACTAGAACTGCCAATCGGGTCAATTTGACCGAGAGCTGTTTTTTATTGTGTGTAACTTTTTTTCAATAAAATATTAAAGTCTTCCAGTCCGCGGCTCCTCCGTGCAGAGAGTTTGCAGCGTGTGTGTCAGCAACGTGCAGTCAGGGGAGGCACGGATTGGCCGTCGGGAGAGTCGGGACTTATCCCGGTGGGCCGCTGGCCAGCTGTGAGTTCTGGAGAATCACAGAACGGCCGGACGCCAACGGCCCGGTTCGCTTACGGCCGACAACACCCCCCCACAATTCACGAGCGTCTAACTCGGCCATAGTTTGGACACTCATTTTAATCACACACGTCTCCCCATCCCATTCAAATTCTTGACTGAGCCTATACTGTATGCATTTGAAAATAAATAGTAGCTACAGTACCCCCCTCTGAGTGAATACCTGTTGACTACACATCTTGTACACATTTAATTAGGAGCAAAAACACACACTTCAAGTCAGATCATCACCCTTAGCTATTTTAATTACCTCTCAAACAACCTAAACTAGTTATAAATGTTTATTTTTACTGTCGGCCGGGTCAGCTGCTGCATGAGACAGACACTGAAAAGTATTATCATCTGAAATTAATCATTATGTTATTAGTATTAAATATATATAAGTATTTATACTTATATATAAGGTTATATATTATTATATATTTAGTTTTTTATATAATATCTGCATTTTCTCTTTTGAAAAACTAAGTCTTAGTTTGGCCATAGTTATTTAATATATAAAGACTATATATTATTGAATTACAAGATTAGATATACTTTATTTGATCTAAAATATTGATGTGTTCAAATGCTCTTCTAAACAAAACTGAAAGTCCATGAAAGTTGTCTTCCTGTTTTTGTGAAGGAAGCGCCATCTCCTGGTTAAATCTTGAAATTGAAAATCTGGCAACGCCCTCTTGGAAAATAGTGGGAGGGCTTAACATTCCCAGATACTGGTCTTTGGCAGGTCTTAGGCAGGTAGCTGGCAGGTAGTAGGCAGGAAGCAGTAAGCTGGAGTCTGAAATAAGCTGCTCCATCTGTATCTTCCCTTCTAAAAGGGTTAAATTAATAATCTTTTTTCTCAAAGTAATGATAAACCTGTGAGTTGGATGTAGAAGTGTCAGAATCAATATTGATGTTTTTTATTTTAAAGAAAATTCAGATTTTACAGTAAAAAACTGTAAATTATAGTGTCCGTCCAAATATTATTTTTTACTTATAGTGAAAACCACCCTTGGATGATGGGTTAGTAGACTAAAAGCTTTAGGAATCCAAAGTACAACATATAATAAGTACCCTGTATCAAGATTGATGCAAAACAAGTGACATTTGACCTTTTTAGAGAGGTTTAGCAAAAAGAAACCACTTCTGGGGTCATTTGGGTGGATTTTCCATATCTCTGGCCCCCCTTGCTCGATTTTGATGGTTGACATCTCTTTCTGACCGTTAGAGCCAATAGAATCGAAGGGGGAGTCCCCCACACACACTCATTGTGAAGAGAAATGGTGGGGGCTTCGCGCATGTAATTTGGCATCAGAGTGAACCTATCTCTAGCTCTGACATCTGGAAACGGAAAGGCAAGGCAAGGCAAGGCAAGGCAAGGCAAGTTTATTTATATAGCACCTTTCAACACAAGGCAATTCAAAGTGCTTTACAAAAATGGAAGACATTAAGAAAATGGCATTTAAAATCAGTCATTAAAAAGAAAAGATAATAAAATAAACATTAAAAGAAAAAATACATGGATAAAAGTTACAGTGCAGTTTAAGATGTGAATAGTTCAATTAAAAGCAGCGGCAAAAAGAAAAGTCTTCAGCCTGGATTTAAAAGTAGTAAGAGTTGCAGCGGACCTGCAGGTTTCTGGGAGTTTGTTCCAGATATTTGGAGCATAATAACTGAATGCTGCTTCTCCATGTTTAGTTCTGACTCTGGGGACAGAAAGCTGACCAGTCCCTGAAGACCTGAGAGTTCTGGATGGTTCATAATTTAGCAGGAGGTCAGACATGTATTTTGGGCCTAAACCATTCAAAGCTTTATAAACCAGCAGCAATATTTTGAAATCTATTCTTTGACACACAGGAAGCCAGTGTAAGGACTTCAGAACAGGAGTGATGTGATCCACTTTCTTAGTGTTAGTGAGGAACCAGTGTAAAGACTTCAGAACAGGAGTGATGTGATCCACTTTCTTAGTGTTAGTGAGGAACCAGTGTAAAGACTTCAGAACAGGACTGATCCACTCTCTTAGTGTCAGTGAGGAACCAGTGTAAAGACTTCAGAACAGGACTGATGTGATCCACTTTCTTAGTGTCAGTGAGGAACCAGTGTAAGGACTTCAGAACAGGAGTGATGTGATCCACTTTCTTAGTGTCAGTGAGGAACCAGTGTAAAGACTTCAGAACAGGACTGATCCACTTTCTTAGTGTCAGTGAGGAACCAGTGTAAAGACTTCAGAACAGGAGTGATGTGATCCACTTTCTTAGTGTCAGTGAGGAACCAGTGTAAGGACTTCAGAACTGGACTGATGTGATCCACTTTCTTAGTGTTAGTGAGGACTCGAGCAGCGGCGTTCTGAATTAGCTGCAGCTTTCTAATAGATGTTTTAGTGAGGCCTGTGAAGACACCATTGCAGTAGTCCAGTCTACTGAAGATAAAAGCATGGACAAGTTTTTCCAGATCCTGCTGTGACATTAGTCTTTTAATCCTAGATATGTTCTTTAGGTGATAGTAGGCTGATTTAGTAACTGTTTTAATGTGACTGTTGAAACTCAGGTCAGAGTCCATGACTACACCTAGATTTCTGGTTGTATCTGTTGTTTTGAACATTGCAGACTGAAGCTCAGCGCTAACTTTTATACGTTCTGCCTTGGCTCCAAAAACCATTACCTCAGTTTTATCTTTGTTTAATTGGAGAAAGTTCTGACACATCCAGTCATTGATTTGTTCAATGCACTTACTCAGTGTTTGAATTGGAGCATAGTCTCCTGGTGAAATTGTTACGTACATTTGTGTGTCATCCGCATAGCTATGGTAACTTCTTTTGTTGTTTTTCCCTATCTGAGCCAGTGGTAGCATATAGACGTTAAAGAGAAGAGGCCCCAAGATGGAGCCTTGAGGTACCCCACATGTCATATTTGTCAACTCAGATGTGTATTTACCTTTAGAAACAAAGTTTTTTCTGTCCTTTAAGTAGGACTCAAACCAATTTAGAACTGTTTTCGGAAGTCCCACCCAGTTTTCTAGTCGGTCTAGTAATATGTTGTGGTCAACAGTGTCAAACGCAGCACTGAGATCTAATAATACTAACACTGAAGTTCTGCCACTGTCTGTGTTTAAGTGGATGTCATTGAAGACCTTTACAAGAGCAGTCTCAGTGCTGTGGTTTGGACGAAAGCCTGACTGGAACACATCCAAACAGTTATTTAAATGCAAGAAGTTACTCAACTGTTGAAAAACTACTTTTTCAAGAGCGGTTTAATGACTGCAGTTTTCAGGGCCTCTGGAAAAATACCTGAGTGAAGAGATGTGTTTACTATATGAAGTAGATCTGAGGCCATGCAAGGAAAAACATCTTTGAAAAATCCTGTTGGAATAATATCAAGGCAGCAGGAGGAGGATTTCAGAAGTTGAATAATGTCCTCTAGATTTTTATCATTAATCTGATGGAACTGTGTCATGGTGTCTGAATTGATATTAGGTGGACATAGGGACAACACACCTGCTGTACCTGATGCAGAGGCACTGACTGCTTGTCTGATGTTCTGAATGTTGTCAGTGAAGAAGGCAAAATCATTGCACGCCCTGGTGGATAGAAATTCAGAGGCTACTGACACTGGGGGGTTAGTTAGTCTGTCGACGGTAGCAAACAAGGCACGTGCGTTGTTTTTGTTTTTGGTAATGATGTCAGAGAAGAAAGACTGTCGTGCGTTTTTCAATTCCAAATTATAAAGGCCAAGTCTCTCTTTATAGATTTCAAAGTGAACCTGGAGATTTGTTTTTCGCCACCTACGTTCAGCTTTTCGACACTCTCTTTTTTCTGTTCTCACGGTCATGGCCTTTCTCCATGGAGATCTTTCTTGCCAATCACTTCCTTTACCTTCGTTGGAGCAATGGCATCTATAACATTTTTAATTTTTGAATTAAAATGATCTACTAGCTCATTTACTGAGATGTTAGCAGGGGCAAGTGTGGATGAAAAATTATGAGTAAACATTTCCCTAGTATTTTCTGTTAAATATCGCTTTGTGGTTACCTCTTTCTGAACATTTGTGTGAACAGAAATAGAGCTCTCAAAGAAAACACAGGAATGATCAGAGAGTGCAACATCAGTCACCACAACCTTTGAGATATTCAGACCCTTTGAGATAATTAAGTCCAGAGTGTGCCCCTTATTGTGCGTGGGCTCCGCCACATGCTGAGCCAGTCCATAGTTATCAAGAACACAAAACAGTTCTTTAGCCCCTCTGTCCTGTAGCCTATACTTCTTAATAAAAACTGTTTTTAACAGAGTTTATGCATTTGTGATCATACTGTGTGACCTGCTTGTATGTACTTACACAATAGAGAACCACAGTGACGAGTCCTAAAACCCGGAAGTACGTTAGCATTTTTACCACTTCCGGTTCCTTCGACAAAAAGCAATGCAATTTCTGGTTTTTGACGAAGGAACCGGAAGGAGTTTACTTCCGGATTTTAGGACGCGTCACTGCGGTTCTCTATAGGTGTACTGTTCTCTCTATGTGTTGTACTGTCTCAGTGTGAACATAGATGAAACAGCCAGCCAAACTCCTTTGAGAGCCAGGGAATGAGCAGCCATGCTCCTTTATTGACTTATTTGCAGTCCACTGACATTCAAACTGAGTGAAACTATAAAAAATAAGTTACAAGGCACTTAATGATCTCATACATGCAAGTGCTAAGTGTAAACATGGTAAATATAGCTAATGCTAGCTGTGCAATAAGCATGTATACAGACTAGTATGGCTAACGCTAGCATGTATGGCTAACGCTAGCATGTATGCTAACGCTAGCGTGAATGCTAACGCATTTTCTCATTGTGTTTAAACATCTCAGAATGTCATCCCATAAACACAATACATGTTACTAATCCTTACAGTGTAAGTGTAAGGATTACACTTACACTTACAGTCATTGCTTTCTGACGGACTTGACCCTTTTACTCTTCTTTTGGGGTATTGACAGCTCAGCTACCAATAGCAAGGTATGACCTGTATGTTTCATATTTGCACATTTATATTTTTGTAAAATGTGTACTGAAGGTTAGACAGGAAACCGGGTACAGGAAGTAGGAGAGAGAGTAGCATGGCAGTAGACTGCTACTAATTTTTCCTATGCAACCTGAAGAGTAAAAGGGTAAAGTCCGTCAGAAAGCAAAGACTGTAAGTGTAATGCTTACACTTACAGTCTTTGCTTTCTGACGGACAAGAGTAGATAAGAATAGATCATATTTGTTAAGTGTTATTATGGGAGAATTACTATTCTTGTGGTACTACTGCCTTATTAGGCCCATATTGAGCAGAGCATATTAAGACCAAAACTCATGTACAACAACTTCCTTACTTGCAATAAATAAGCACTAATTGGAGGGTTATTGAGGAAAAACTCTCAACTAATGGCTTATTACTTGTAGAATATGGTCATGTAGAATAAGGCATTAATAAGTGTTTTATAATGACTACTAAAGAGCCAATATACTGCTAATATGCATGTTAATTAACAACTAGTTGATGGTGAATTGGTGTACCTTAATATAAAGTGTTACCAAGTGAACTATCTAAACCCTCAGAGAGTCCTTCACCTCACTGAGCTGTAGTTATCAGCCTCTCAGTCTGACAGGAGAGGACTCTCCTCCACCTCTCAGAGAGTCCTTCACCTCACTGAGCTGTAGTTATCAGCCTCTCAGTCTGACAGGAGAGGACTCTCCCTCCACCTCTTTAATAACAGCGACTTATATCCGGGTGCTAGTGGAGCACGCTCGTGAACTGTTAGCGCCGGAGCCTCGCAGCGGGGAAACTGTGGCGCGCATCATTTTACAACTAAATACACAGCTACACACAGAACGAAGCATTTGTATAGCTCATGTGCACGGCTCTGAGAATCTGCCTTGGTACAAAGTAGCAGTGAAAACATGGTATAGAGTTTCATTGATTTGGGCATTCTCACAATAAGCAGGTGGAATGGATTTGATAATGAAGCACTGACACATAGAGTGAGTGGATAGACCGATTCACAGACTTTCCGCATAGTAAAAGTGGGGGGGTCTAAACTAATCATTTTAAAAGGTGGGGGGGACTTGTACCACCCTCATATAATGGCTGCGACGCCCATGCATTTGGGACTTGGACGCTTTTAAACAGCGTTGGTGCTATGATGACATTGTGTGTTCTGTTGTTGATGAGGATTTAGACTTTGCACAAGTTTTGATGACATAGGTTTTAATGTATTATTTTGAACTGAAACGTTTTTATTGCACAATGAAGCACTTTATTTGAAGAATGTATAATTTATCGTATGTAAATAAAGTGTTTTTGCAAAAGTCAAAAAAGTCTTCTTCTTAGAAGAAGAACAGCTAGGACTCATGTTGACTGTGTTTCTTCCTCCAGGCTGGACCATGGTGGAGAGCAGTGGTTAAAACCACATCTGAGAAAGTGTAAGTGTGGATCAGTCAGCTTCTCTCTAAAGACAAAGATGATGGAGGTGGTATTTATTCATTAAAACATAAAATACGTTTATAGAATAATAATAATAATTTAGATTTTTATAGCGCCTTTCAAGAAACCCAAGGACGCTTTACAATGGGAGATAGAATAACTAAGTAATAATAATCACACAGACACACAGGTTGAAAAACAGGTTGCTGGGTACTGCATTTTAGCTGGGGCCCGAAGGCCTGAGTGAACAGATGGTGTTTGAGTTTTTGTTTGAAAGTGTCCAGAGAGTCGGCATTCCTGATAGCAGAGGGGAGAGAATTCCAGAGGGTGGGGGCTGCGACACTGAAGGCTCTGTCGCCAAAGGATTTCAGCTTGGAGCACTGGATGGAGAGCAGCCTGTGTCGGAGGACTGCAGCTGACGAGAGGGGGTGTAGGGCTGAAGGAGGTCAGCGATGTATGCAGGGGCTAGGGAGTGGAGAGATGTGTAGGTTAGCAGGAGGAGTTTGTACTGGATGCGTGACTTGACCAGGAGCCAGTGAAGGTGGATGAGGGTGGGGGTGATGTGTTGCCAGGGCTTAGTGCAGGTGAGGAGCCTGGCTGCAGGGTTCTGGACGTACTGGAGCCTGTACAGGGCTTTGCAGGTGACCCCGAACAGAACTCCATTGCAGTAGTCCAGGCGAGAGGAGATGAAGGCATGTATCAATGTTTCTGCAACGGGGTCGGGGAGAGAGGGTTGGAGTCTGGAGATGTTTCGTAGGTGAAAGAAAGCAGTTTTGACAGTAGACCTGATGTGGGAGTTGAAGGTGAGGCTAGAGTCCAGAGTGACGCCCATGCTGCGAACCTCAGGGGAGGGGTGGATGGAGCAGCCATCGACGGTAGAGGGATAGGCGGTTGAGTAGGATGGTGTGGGAGACTGTGTCAAATGCTGCTGAGATGTCCAGGAGGATGAGGATGCTGATGAGGCCTGAATCGGCGGCTATGAGGAGGTCATTGGTTATTTTGATGAGGGCAGTCTCTGTGCTGTGGTTGGATCTGAAGCCTGATTGGAAGGGTTCGTAGAGCTCATGGTTGGACATATGATGGTGGAGTTGGGCAGCAACAGCTCTTTCCATGATTTTGCTGAGGAAAGGAAGGTTGGAGA